ATCCTCATCAGGCCAGCGCTTGTGTTTCAGTGCAAACACTTATGTGCTCTGAGCTGACTGGTTCTTAGAACTAGGTGCTCTGTCAAGAAGGCATAAGACTGAAAAGGTGGAAAAACAATTAAAAAAAAAGTCTTGTAAGCCTGCATGACTAGGTAATAGGTTGTACATTTTATCTGAAGACATTACTGAGCTAAAACACATGCTATTGAAAATTACATTTCACTTGAAACCAGGGGAAAGGATAACTCCAGAAATCTCTCAAGAGCGAGTCTCATAATAGTTTGCCTGCCCAGATTTCCCTTGTCACTTGAACTAAATAAAAATCTTCTTCACTGCCTATCTTTGATCATTAGAGAAGCCTAATCACTATTATTCCAAGGTCCCATTTAATTCTAGTAGTAACAATACACCACTGGCTAGCTATAAAACATAGGACTATATGCAGCTGCAGTTCAATCAGCAATTTAAGACCTTTGTAAATGAAAGGTCCTCATTCAAAATTATTATTTGTTGTTCCTGTAGGTTTTGTAAATCTCTTTATTCAAGAATGTTATAAAACTGGAAATACTGCAACTCAAGACTGACTAATCTTTCATTACATAAGCTGTCACTCAGTTTAGTGCCACAAAAATCTATCAGGACTGTATCGATACACACTAGGAATTCTGTTCCAAAGTAAAATTTAAACTATGTTTTATGATAATACCCTGACACTTACAATGTGAAAATGCACAGCAGTGCAGACATATTGTCAGAAGATTAACTGTTCACACACAACACTGCCCAGTAAAAACCAGCTATTTATGATCCTGAAAATGTGAACACAAAGCAAACACGTATTCAGAACATTCAACCCACTTCACCCATTTCTCTCTAACTAGCAGAGCTTATTGATCAACAGACTGAGACTCTTACACATCGTTCAGTGGGTTAGGAAATTAAAGTGAAGCTTGGATAAAAGCATTAAGGATTGTAGTAATGTCTGGTTGCAAATGAGACCTGTAAGTCCAACTTATTCAGGAATTAAAAAAAATACTAAATCAAACCCCATAATTCATTTACGATAAGGAATTTCCAAATACATATACAAACATATATACATTTCTGAAGAATACTTCTGCCTGCTGGTCACCAACCTGGATGATCATATGGATCTCATTCTATTAGGTGGAATGAAAACCCAATGAAATCCTTCCAGGCAAGGCATCAGGAACCTGACAGTTCAACTTCCCATTGAAAAAGAAACTCTTCTAAGATAAATTTTCTATTTTGTTAAAATTCTACTTTTTTTTTAAAATGTAGATGTTTCCAAAGAAACACTCCCCATCATTTCTAATTATAATACTACCATATGCTTGAGCAATGAGCAAGAGCAGGTTTAACAGCCCTGAGAACAAAGCAGGTACTGGAACACTATTTGCGGAGAATTCCAGCTCCCTTACTTTCTGAAATAAGATCCATTGAGAAAGCAAGCTAAGAAATCCTTTTACCCAGCACAACTTGTCTTTCCCAATGACTGAGCAGCCTTTGAAAGAAGGAATATAACCGGGATGAAGGTGTTCCTGTGCCTCCTCAGTGCACATATGCAGCAAGAATGGTAGTTCAACTACCAGTAGCCCTACAGAATCATGTCTCTTTTTCCCATCTGTAACATTTATTAACTTTTGGCCTCCTTAACACATATTTTCTTTAAGCTGCCGCAGTCTGTACCTGATTGAAATGCACTTGATCCTTCTAGAAGTCTGTAGCATTGTGGATTCCCCACAGCTATGACTAACATAGTAGACAAGATGCAACTTGCTCCACTGGAGCTGTTTTTCCTTTCCAACAGACTGGTCCAAGAGAAGCTTGATGCTTTCATGACTTTATCTAAACGAACCACATATTTGTGTTTTCATTTTAAAAGAGCGGTATTTCTTGCTTTTAAAAATCCACTGATTTTCTAACCAAAGTGTGGAAAAATCTTAAGATATCCAGACCATGAAGTGTCAGGAGTCATGCAAGTCTGGGAAGATGACTGCGACAACATTCCCATCTTGGGATGGAATAGCATGAGCCACTAGCTCCCTATTTTTGGGTATTTGCTCTAAATTAACGATTTAGGGTTGATGTAGACTTCAAAAAAGGTTATTAGGAATGGATGATGTGAAGCAACAGGCATTTAAGCCACCTCAAGAACAGCCCAAGACTACAGGGAGAAATAATATTCCTACAATATCTTCAGACACTAATTAAAGGTGGGTTCCTGTTTTTCCAGTTGAAATTTCAGCACCAAAGTAAAGGTATGAAGGAATAAAAAAGAGATAAGAAAAAGCAGGGCTAATTTTGCAATGCAGTAAGCTAGAAAAGCATACTAGAGCAAGGAGAGAAGTACATTGTTCAATGTACTTTTTGATATCTTTCCTTATTTTTTAAACCACTGTCATTGTGCTTCAAATTTTGATTCAAGTTAGTCCTTCTGCAAATTTTTGGCTTTCTTATCCTCGTGTATGAATTTTCATGCTTATAGATGCTCTTTCCAAACTCTTAGTCAAGAAACACCTGGATCAGCACTGATGGTTTTGACTATCATGAGGTTAAACTCTTAACACAATGTAAAAACTGATTTCTTCCTATAAGTACCTCCATCCCCTTTTTGGGAACCTTACCTTTGGGTAAGGATAACACCAGCATTCCAACTGAAAGGAGGAATTCATGCTTGTGTACGAGAAGTGTCTCAATAAGCCCTAGCCCCAAACTATCCACCTAGAAGAACACATAAGGCAGGTTACATTACCGAAGCCACTGTACTAACCTAGAGAAAAAGTTATCTCCACAGTCAAGAACGTAAAAGAGAGGATGGCAAAGAAATACAAGCTGTGGAGGGGCTACCGCAAGTGTGCAGAGTGACTGGAGGTGATGGAAGGCTGTGTATGAAGAGTGCTGGAGCTTCTGCACTTCACTACAGACTGCCAGCCTTTTCCCTGGACTGGGAACAAAGGGCTATCAAGTTTGAGTACAGCAAGAATAGTGGGACAGGGCTGTGGGAATTCAGAGAAAAATGTCAACATGGAAAAGTGAGAAAGGAGTGAGAGTGAAGGCAATTATAGGAAAGGTAGCAGTGTAGTGACTCAGGGTGAAATGCTGGCAAGTGATTTGTGGGAAGGAATGACAGAATACCCCACGAGGGAGTGAGTGAGGTTATCTAAATCTCTCCTCACCCTCTTGCTGATCACAACATAAAAGCTAAACAAGCCATTTAGATAAATGTAGCTGAGTTTGGTAAAGGACAGATCCTACTTTTCCTCACTTTCCTTGCCATCTGCTCTCCCATCCCATCATGGTTCATATTTGAATGCAACACCCTTAAAATCAACAGGGTCTCAGTTTATGAGAGCATTGTCCTGAACATCCTACATTTTTCACTGCTTTCAACAGGATTACTTGGCAAATTTCTATCCACTTACCTGTAGATGTATCAATGGCTTTTCCAGAAGCAGCAACTTGTTATTTGCTGGACACTATGACACAAGTCAGGTCAAATAATTCTCTGAGGCATATGTTCTTTTATGACAGAGACACCAGCTGGTTTCTAATGTATGTAATGGCTCATAAATTAGCAAACTGGCAATCACTTTTCTCTGCTGAATCTCATTTGTTACCACTTGGATTTCTCTTCAAGTGCACCATCTCTATTATACAAACTGGCAAGGATAGGGGGTATCTGCTAGGATACAAAAAATGTAACCTTTGAGAATGGTAAAAAGCGTCCTTTAGTAGCGCCACCTGACAAATTTCAACAAAAACTTCTTAGTATCTTCACTACATGAAGTTAGATGATTGCATTTCTTGTGTTTGAGTATTTGCCTTGATTTAACTAGAAAACTTCCCACCCATGTTAGATGGGCAAGGAACAAGGTCAAATTTTTGCAGCTGACTGCCAATTGAATTTTGAAAATATCAACAAGATCCAAAGATGCAAACACAGTGCAAGCCCTTGTGTTCAGGTACAGCTTATTCCTCTCAGGCAATCACCTGTCTCCTGAGGCAAAGAGATGGGCAACACTTTCCATCTCATATGGGTAACTATACCTTTTAGGATATTTTGTTAAAGTAATTCTGGTTATCACCATGTACTTTGATAGCTCATATCTCTGAATAGCTGTGGGAAATCTCCCAGATTTCCACCTTGGTGCACTTCCAATTACCAATAAGTCCTTAGAAGTGAAAGACTACCTTGACTTTTGCAACTGGGAGAGACTTGAAGGAGGAGGTATATCTGAAGCCTTTCTTCTGTGTTCATTTTTTAGAAATATGTTCTTCACCTGTTTTTGTTGCTGAAGTGACCATCTGCTGCTAAACATCAAAAGGCCAGGCAGACCATTTCCATTACCCAAAAGTTACTGTGACTTCCGTAACATAAATTAAGGAAGACAGTGGAAGGCTACCAGCCATTCTACCTCCAAATTATATAACTTTTCTTTAAGAGCTCCAAGGTACTTTCTTTGAATAGTAACTTTTATTTAATGCTTCTCTTCAAGTGCTCTCAGGAATGGCCATTCTGAGTCAGAACATACAACTTTTAAACTCAGGTACATATTTGAGACAAGTAGACTTCACAGTGGCAAAGGCTAGAGACCTCATACTGTCCTACAGTATGGAAGTTCATAATCACTGAAGTACACCATAAATGATCACCATGTCAGAAACCTTGAACATTTCCTAGAATTATTCTGCCTCCTCATTTAAAAACATTTAAATTTTAGTGAATATATTTTTTAAATAAATAACAGTGTGCAGCTAACAAAGCATAAAGATGTTTAATAGAATGAACTTCCAGACTAGTAATGAAAATTAGCCTATCAGCAGAATCAATTTGTAAACTGCATACCAATCAATAACACAGAACACTATTACAACAGTGCCTGTCTCCCACTTATCTAAACATTTATGTTTTGAAGCCTGCAATAAACCTGAATTATGAAATCGCTGTAAGAAAATGAAATATTAGAGATACTCACTTTTACCAAAATTATTCTTGCTAGCTCTTCACATACAGGCTTTTCTTCATCCTTCTTCAAGCCTTCCAGTTCAAACAAGGTATTGTAATTTTCCAGCATTTTTGTCATTATCTTGTTGCAGATCTCCTGTTCTTTTATACCTTCAAATCCAGAGGGCACACTAAAATTGGACAGAAGATAAAGCAGAGTGTTTATAGGGACTCAACATACAAGAGTTCCTGCACAGAGTCTCTATAACATTTCAGTTGTGGATACAGGCTGGCTAGCAGGCACAGGAAACTCCGTCTTGGAAAGGAGGATTGTGCCTATGTTGGTAACAACTACCCTTATTGATATAAAATACCCAACCTGTTGGCCAAACTACCCACTCCAAAAAATCTAGGCAGAGATCTAATTGAGACAACCACCAAATGGGGTACCACCAACCCTGCTATAAGTTCGGTTTCATGACTGCAATAGACAGCATGAGGCATTCAGATGCTCTGGTTTGTGATAACCTCAAAGGTTATCACAGGATGAGTGAAAAAATTAAGAATACCCACATTCTAAGCAAAACACTAAAAGTGAAGCAAGATCTCTGCATTCAGATGACCCAATGCTATACATAACATTTTCTAATCTAATGTTTGAGTTGGCATTTCTTTCAAAAGTAGGCTCATAACTCAAAGCGCTTTTTAAAACACGGAGATGGAGGGTGCCTTCTGCAGAACAGCCTACGAGATTAATACAAGAAGTGGTTCCTTACTTCCAGTTTCCGGGAGAATAACCAACTACGTGGCTGCTGAAGAAGCAGCTTCTTGGTTTCTTGAAACAGGCCCCTTTGCAACTAGGAATTGCTTGCCACAGACGTTAAAGGCACACAAAAATCATAAGATACTGATTTGGAAGAAGCATATTCCAGTCTATGCTCCTTTGCCCTCCTTATGTGTTTCACACAACTCTCTCATGTAGTAAAAAAAAAATATTACTCAAAACAGGGGATACAATTTGCTGAAGCTTCTAACAATCATCTGCTGGAATATAGGCTTTCTAAACTTTCTATTGGACTTTGCTGCCCATAACTGACTTAAATTCTGTTTAAATGCAAAGTGAAATCTCTGAAGAATCTTCTTCAGCATTCAAAACACTTCTCCAATCATCCAGTATTTCTTATTGTACAGTACTTCCAGCAGACACACTCCTCTCAATAAGCCACGAAGTGGCTGCATGGATGTAAATTTTCTAAGGACCTTATAAAGCGGCAGACTGCAGACCAGGAGTAGAGAAACACAAAAGCTTTAAAGGGAAGAAGCAGAGGAGCAAAAACCAGAAACAAAATAAAGTTTCAAGTATCTTTTGGCTGAGGACAACTAGCGGTTATATGAGAGGAAAACATAACCCAAACCCCCAAAAGCTAAACAAATACCATCTGAGCTATTTTACAGCGATGTAACTTGAAAGCAAATCATTGTTTACTACAATCAGCAAATTAAAATTCATAAATAATTACCTACTGTAAAACTGCAACTGCAGTTTATTGGTGCCAGCTGTGCATTTCAACAAGAAGACTCTGGAAGCAGATGCTCCCAGAAATTTGCCATCAAAAAGTGCTTTTTTGTAAGGGCTGCATGCTGCTGATCCTTCTCAATACTTTATTCTCTGTAGTACATCCATATGTCAACAGGGAGAGTATCCTACTACAGCAGAACACATCTCTGTAAACTCCAGAAGAGAATCTTTACCGCTATCATTTCAACATTTAATACATGCTAGAGTAGTAGGACCTGAATTTTAAAGGATTGCATTATTTTACACTGTAGAACTTTGGCAACTGTAAAAAATGTGTCAGTCTCAGCTGATTGACTGATTTCATCAGGGTGGAACCTGGCCTCCAACTAAATAAAGAACAAATAAGACAACTGGTATTGACAGATGTGCATGTATACTCAGGTCAATTCAACTCAAAGAATGTCACATTCACTAAAACTTACTAACTGGCCTGAAGAAAAGTGTATGTTACCAATAGGCCCATGTAACAATCCTGATTTAAGGAAACCCCTCTTTCCATGCTACATGATGTGCTCCACAGTTGGTATAGTGCAGAGCTTGCTTGCTTGCTAGTTCAGGCAAATCCTGACTCTTACCTTCCTGATTTGTTTCTCCAAAATAGAGTACAACAAGAAGCCTGGCATCCCTGTGAACCTCATTTCCAGGAAAAGGACTAGAAATGTACTAGAGCACAAGTCAAAATAAAGACTCCAGATAGCAGAACCTTTCCCTAAACTCCATCTGCTGGGAACTACAGCCAACACCTCCCTACCGGGAACAGCTAACATCAAAAATCTCTGATTGCAAAACAGGCCAGTCTACAAAGTTTCCAGAAAGCATAGAAACAGTATTTCATTTCTGAATAATTCCATGACTTTCTTGCCCTCCCTTCCCCACATTACCTTGTCAGTTAAACTTTACTAAATCAAATCTGTGAAAAGTCTAACATCTTATTCCGAACAATTCTGTACATGTATGGATAGATATGCAGAACACAAGGCTAAAGCTCATGGCTTTAGTCATTTTTAACACCTCTCTCTGAATAAAGCAAAGCAGTATGGTTTGATTTATTTTAAGGGCAATGTACTATATTTTATTCACTGCCATCTCTCTGCCACTTAAACAGGTATATTTTACAAAATTTCTAATTTATTTTTCATTTAATTGCTGTTTATTAGACTTCCATCACGGTAAGGACTATTATACTCTTTGAGCTCTCCATGGTGACATTTTTCTTGCAATAAATATATGCTGAGCTGAAGATATGAAGTTTATATTACGAGCATGCACCACCCTGCCTATTTATACAAATTAAACTCCATCTGTTGCCACAGTGCATGATCCACCAGTCTAGCTAGATTTTTCTGAAAAATTATGTAAAAAAATAGTATCTTACTTTAGCTCTTCTTAGTCTGAAAAGTTTGCATCTACAAATGCCACTTCAACTGACTAGAAAAACCCAGTCCTTTGAGAAGTATTCTCTCACCACCTTCCTGATGCACATCCTACTCCTTGCAAATTTTACAAGTTCTTTTGTGAGGATCCTGTTAAAACATCACAGCAAAACTGTGCTCATAGTCATGGTCCTTTTATGTCTATTTTCACGTTAATTAGGCATTACAACTGTGTTGCTTAGAGAGTTAGGCACACAATTTACTCCAGATACAAAATCCTGAATAGCGGGACTTGATCCCCTTATAGCCACAGATGTAGGAACCACTTCAGTAGTAGCACCAGAAACATGAGCTTCACTACCAGAAACACGTTTTCTAGAAGGGAAGCATAAACAGGCAATTTCTGTGGTTATTTCTAGAAGAAAAACTGTTGATAAATTCAGGTCTATCTTAGTGATTTGAGCTGGAAAACTCCCACTGAGAAGTAGCTTGCAAAGTCATGGACAGATACATAGCATAGGCAGAGCAAGAAGCAAATTCTCTACCGTCCCCTCCTGATTCCTTGGACACCTCATCCTTCCCAGAAGGCGCTCTGAACAATCTGTGCGCAAAGCACAGTGGCTCAGTACATATTAATTATTTGGAAAAAACACATTTTTTCTAAACCAGGCACCAGCATTAACAGCATCTGACTCAGTTAAGCAGGGCAAAAGGCAAAGGTGCATTAATACCAAAAGTTTTACAGGATATTCAAGATCCAAATTACTGATGAAGACACTTAAAAGCTGAAAAAGCAGTAGTGCTGAAAGTGAAAATATTAACTGGGAATAGGATCAAGTTATTAGCTCTTCAATTCAAAATATGTCACTCAGTAGTATTTCACACTTCTGCACAGTCCTAACAGCATGCCTGGCCCCTGGCCCACCCCTGCAGCTCCATGCAACTCCCGTCCATGCAGATCCATGCTCACATGTTCCTTATGTTCTCCCAGACCATGTGCATGTCTCCTTCCATAGTGATGCTCAGGAAAGCTAGTCTTAAATGGGTTAAGCCACATTCAAGGCTCTGTGTCACAACTCTTACCCAGAACTAAAGTGACATAGGGTCAGATTAACTCACTGTGAAAGAATTACTTACATTTCATACATTAGTTAAATGAATTTACATCAGAATCTCTGTAAACAAGCTGTAACAGGCTAAATGCAGAGTAGGCTTATGAGACAGCAAATCTCCAGACTCTACTGAGAGTGATGGAGTAACACACACCAACATTTCTGCATCTGACAGGCATCACTACAAGGCTCTGTCGTCATCCACCACACCTGGGAAACTTGCTTCAAGCAGAAACAGGGGCCAGGAGGACTTGGGATGTTGTTATCTGTCTGTAATAAACTGAACTGAGATCACTGAACTGATTTCCCCAGGCAACAACTGCTGACAGCTCCCTGTCACAACTGAGAAGCAGAGATTTCCATGTGAAAGGGTCCATCTCGTTAGGAATTCCCAATAGTGTTTGACCTTATCCTGTCTGACATGCATACTACCATTTCCCTAAGTGGCTTTGCAGAAGTAGCTTGCATGGAATGACAGCACTGTAATCCTACTTTACAACCACTGCAGGGTATATCCTCTGACTCCTACTTCTGCTGTTTGTACAGTACCTTTTGTAGAGGAGCTCCACAAAGTCACCTCACCATTCTCCTAGGGAATCCAGCCAGAAATGAAGGGACTCAAAGGACAGGGAACACTTCATGGGTTTTTTGTTTTTCCAGCCCCCACAAAACATTTTTGTTAGTACCTCAGATGCCCATGAGTCCCTCAACAAGTGCAACTGAAGACTCTGAGAGCAGATCTGCTGTAACATTTAGAAGTTACAACTTCAGACAGTCTATTCTGTCCCTCTAGACAGAACATTACTGTGTCTGTAACAGACATGACCTCGTGGCTACAACTCATCCCTGTACTTCAGCTGATGAAAGTGATTTGTCCTAACACACTGGACCACAAACTGGTGCATCTGAAAACAGGCCCATATTCATGTCTGCAGATTATAGTGCAAGATCGGAGCCTAACAGGTACCCAAAGATAAAGCAACGCTAGCTAACCTGAGACAGGTGTTCATCTCCGTCTGTATGACTCATTTACATGCTCTGCAGCATTTACAGGCTTATGTCTCACCAGTCTGGATGAAATGAAATGACAGATGACACTACCGAGATTTTAAAGAAGCATTTTAGTT